CTCTTTAAACAAAAGACGAAGGTTCATTAGGAATGTTATTGATGTTCCTAATGAAACTTCAAGCTAGGCTGTTATCCTACATGCGCTCATCTGAAGCCTCACCCGAGAAAATTATTTACTTGATGAGCTTATTTGTTTACACTAAGAAGGAATTCTGTTCAGTGATAATTTACAATCGTCTTAGTTACAGACTAAAGCTGAATCACCTGAGTTCTCTCTCTCTCAGTCTGTCTGTCTGTGTCTGTCTGTCTGTGTGTCTGTCTGTGCCTGTCTGTCTGTCTGTGTGTCTGTCTGTGCCTGTCTGTCTGTCTGTCTGTGTGTCTCTCTCTCCCTCCCCTCCACACACACACACACACACACACAGCTCTACATCGCGTGAATCTTAACTTCCCAGGATGTGGACGACGCTCAGATCCCTAATATCCACCCGGGAATATTACATTGTTGCGCCACATTACAACCCAAACCCAATTATTCGCACAAGCAGTCCATCAAGCGCCCTCACAAACACAATTCAGGCAAAGAAATTACACATATGTAATAAACTTTATGAAGTAGATTTAAAGCATCCACCCCCCCCCCCTCTCGCCGTACTGGGATCTGAACCAAACCCTTCCACTTGTTATAACGAGATCTGAAGCTCCAAAAACCATTCTTTCTAGCGGGATCTGAACCAGTCCTTCCTACTTGTCCTAATGTCATCTGTACCAGATTGCATAATTTATTCTGTATTTCTTTTAATTTTTGGTCCGTGATGTGCTCCGAGGGTCGGCGATACTCTTTTAATTTTTTTTAGCGCATTCTTCACTACTGTCATTTTTGGAGTAGGCAAGATTTTTCCTGTCATCATCTGCCCCCAGGAAGAAATTGTTGCAACTGCGATTAATGCGCTTCGAAGCAGTCTATATTTCCTCTCTTGTATACGTAAGAGTCCAATAATGAACATAGGATACAGCTTGAGGGATGAGGACTAAGTAATTATCAAAAGATAGCGCCAAGCCGTGAAGGGATGAGCACTAGATGACTGAAGAACACATCCTACAAGAGCCAAGCACACTACTTTGCATACACAGGAGCCAAGAGCTTTCAGATTCTGTTTAATTAAAGACTATACTCTTTTGAGACGGTTCTTGAAGATGGTGCTTTACTTACTGAATAATGGGCCAAGGGTCAGGTTGTAGTAGACACTGCTGATGGTGGTGTTCTCAGTCATGGACCTGCAGCTTCGTAGCAAAATGGTTTGCAGTAGTTCAGTCTTCTCCCTCTTTCATCCCTCTCCTCTCTCCTCTCTCTCTCTCTCTCTCTCGCTCTCATCTCTCTCTCGTCTCTCCTCCTCTCTCTCTCTCCTCTCCTCTCTCTCTCTCTCTCTCTCTCTCTCTCTCTCTCCTCTCTCTCTCCTTCATCTCGGTCTCTCATCGCTCTCTCTCTCTCCTCTCTATCTCAGGTCTCTACTCTCTCTCTCTCTCTTCTTCTCTCATCTCCATCTCCTCTCTCTCTCTGTCTCCTCCTCCTCTCCTCTCTCTCTCCGGCTCTCTCTCTCTCCCTCTCTCTCCTCTCTCCTCTCTCTCTCTCTCTCTCCCTCTCTCTCTGCTCTCTCCTCCTCTCTCTCTCTCTCTCTCTCTCTCTCTCTCTCTCTCTCCTCCTCTCTCTCTCTCTCTCTCTCTCTCACGCTCTCCTCACTCTCTCTCCTCTCCTCTCTCTCCTCCCTCTCTCTCGTTCTTTTCATCCTCGTATCTCTCTCTCTATCTACCGTCATCTCCTCTCATCTGTCTCTCTCTCTTCTCTCTCTCCACTCTCTTAATGAGTCTTACGGATTAAAATGAGGTTACCACATTTATTTTAAAAACTTTAGACTTTAAGCCCAAACTCTTCCACTTAAGAGAAAGTGTTTGGCGAGAAAAGATAGACAGGAGAGAGAAGACAGAAAAAACAGGAGACGACAGAAAAATGTAGAAAAAGAGAAACGAGAGAGAGAGAGAGAAAGAGAGCATGATTTTACAACTAAGGACATAAAAATAATGTAAAAACCCAGCTCTCAATGATAATGCTGAAATTTCGGGGACGAAGTTTAACTTTTCAGTGACCACAAAAATGCGCTTAACCTAGCAAAGCAAGGCAGAGATGAGCTTACTGCCCTAAGGCGCATCTCGTACCTTCTCGAACGCAGCGGTTGCCAAGCCTTACATGAAGAACAAATTCGCTTCCATCTTGAGTATGAACCACTCTCCTGGACAGCTTGCCCCCATAACTTACCCTCAGGACACGATACACAATCGTGGGAGAACTCTGGTCTTGACCCATTTTCATTGGACAGGTCAGCTGGATACATCAGATCCTTCAATGCTGAGAGATGTCGGCGGCCTAACTGTTATGTATAACACCAAATGTAGTCCACGAGTCACAGTAACGTGGCTGAAGATATGATTACCAAACCTCACATCGGAAAATGGAGAAACGACGACGTTTCGGTCCGTCCTGGATCATTATCATGTCGTTTAATAGAAAAAAGAGTGGAATAGAAAAATTATTGTATTTGTCTCTTCGAGTCCTTCTATTTCACGACTTGATAATGGTCCGAGACGGACCGAAACGTCGTCGTTTCTTCATTTCCTGATCTCTGGTTTCGTCATTGTTTAAGACCAGTCTTCTAAAGGCTTCCCACCTGATAGAGAGAGAGGGAGAGAGGGAGAGAGAGGGAGAGAGAGGGAGAGAGAGGGAGAGAGGGAGAGAGGGAGAGAGGGAGAGAGGGAGAGAGAGAGAGAGAGAGAGAGAGAGAGAGAGAGAGAGAGAGAGAGAGAGAGAGAGAGAGAGAGAGAGAGAGAGAGAGAGAGAGAGAGAGAGAGATAATAATAAATAATAATAATAAATAATAAATAAAATAATACTAATAAAATAAAATTCTCAATTATAAATAAACTTCTCAATTATAATAAGCTTCTCACGTATAATTAACCTTTGCATCTAATGAAAATCTCGCTTATAATCAATGACAATATATAGAAAAACATCTCTTGTTAACACGCGCCTAAATAGTAATTGTTATGTTGATAATTATTGGTCGCATAAACAGCTGAGGGCTCTTTGATACTCCGTTTAGCTCACAGGTCTCCTGGTGGGCGTAACCTGCACCCTACGCCTCCCTCAGCTGACAGGCCGCCTGGTGGGCGTAACCTGCACCTTACGCGTCCCTCAGCTGACAGGCCGCCTGGTGGGCGTAACCTGCACCTTACGCCTCCCTCAGCTCACAGGCCGCCTGGTGGGCGTAACCTGCACCTTACGCCTCCCTCAGCTGACAGGCCGCCTGGTGGGCGTAACCTGCACCTTACGCCTCCCTCAGCTCACAGGCCGCCTGGTGGGCGTAACCTGTACCTTACGCGTCCCTTGTTACGTACCTCTATAAGATACGTAATTAAATAAATTAATATGTACCTTTATAATTGTGTGTAAATTACAAGTATGTATATTGATATACTTATATGTTCTATGTAAAATAATTTCATGTTACATAGTTGGCGTTAGGCCCAACGTATCGTGGGAATGATTGTTTTATTTCTTTGTGTACTCAGTTTCCCACGGGAACTAATGATTTATATGTGATCATATGTGGGTAACATAGGTTAATAATAATTGTGTGAACTGTATCTGGCAAATTGTCGTGGGATAGTTCGTTGCTGGGTGAGCATGCCATCATTCCCCCTTTTGTATGTGTATTTTAATTACTATGTAAAGCAAATATTACCTTATTTTTGTATACCAATATGTATTGACCATTCACTACGTTAGTTTAAGATTACTCTTGTCACAATGTATTGCTCCATTGTAGAATTAATAAATATTGTAACTTTGGCAAATTCTTCGAGGGGCAAGGCAATGATTTTGACTCCCGCGTATATGTAAGTCAGTAGCTGATCCAGAACCAGAGAGTTAACATCTTGTGGAGTTAAGTTTTACATTATTGTTCTGTCATAACCATACATATAATAATATTATATTAATTTCCGGGAGAGACAGTAATATTTTAAGTTGATATATTTGTGATAAATTAATCATCTGTTTGCTATTGAGATTTATGTAATATATTTATATATAAGTTTTATCTGTATTCTTTTAGTCCTAAAGGAAAGTTTTAACTAAGTGCTCATTACTTATTAAGGGGTTATACTGGTGACCCGCTCTTGTGAACAGCAGTTTTAGTAACCCTAGACCTGTTTTAAAGTTGGCTGTTGTAGGGTCACGAGCCGTAACGTACGATAGGTAACATCCCTCAGCTCACAGGCCGCCTGGTGGGCGTAACCTGCACCTTACGCGTCCCTCAGCTCACAAGCCGCCTGGTGGGCGTAACCTGCACCTTACGCGTCCCTCAGCTCACAAGCCGCCTGGTGGGCGTAACCTGCTCCTTACGCGTCCCTCAGCTCACAGGCCGCCTGGTGGGCGTAACCTGCACCTTACGCGTCCCTCAGCTCACAGGCCGCCTGGTGGGCGTAACCTGCACCTTACGCGTCCCTCAGCTCACAGGTCGCCTGGTGGGCGTAACCTGCATACCAACCATCTAGAAACGTCTCACCCCGACATATCTGGGGTCTGAAGGGAGCACAAAGGTTCGTTAATATTTTTGCTGAATGTCTTTGATGTAGAGCTTGAGGAGGAGGCCGAGGGAGCATGAGGGGATCATAGCTCGCGCTGCAGTGCACATTCTCCTCACTGTATCCACATCAGAATCTCACAGAATAGCGTTTACGATTCTAGATGAATGGATGACGAAGCAGGTTTGACAGTCACTCAACTGAGATCAAACTTGTCCTTCATTTCCTCTATAACTCTCTTACTAAAACATGCTACTTAAAGAGGATGATCCTTGCAAATCAGAACGAAATATATCGTTAACAATGAGAAACTCAAGCAGACCTAAAATATAAAGCTAAATATATACCGTGATCCTTAAAACAGCGCGAGATACACCAAGAATCTGACCCCCTAGAGATGACGGAGGGAACACTGACCTTGGTAGTAGAGAGGATGATGACGGAGTTACAGAGACGTCCCGTGACAGCGTCGGGACCCAGCCATGAGCAGCAGCTGAAGACTCGTGGGGGGTCTTCGTAACAGTCGCCGCTAGAGGAGGAGGAGGACTCGCGCTTTATAAAATATTCGCATTAATGGACAAAATGTTTTGTTCACATCAAAAGTAACTGAAGGTTAATTTCAGTTGGATACGGGTGTCTTGCGCGCCAGAGACTGCGTATAGTGCCAGTCTATATGTAGATGTCTGTGGACATGAATGTATATTCTGTGTGCGTGTATGTGTATACTCTGTGGGTGTATGTGTCTACTGTATGCGTATAATGTGTGCGTGTATGAGTATAATGTGTGCGTGTATGAGTATAATGTGTGCGTGTATGTGTATAATGCATGAAAATATATATATTTGTGGGCTTGTATATGCATACTCTGAATACTTGTTGATTTTGGGCATATATATCTGTATGCAGTGAACATGTGTATGGTTGTGGACGTATTTATTAGGTTACCATTAAGCGTGTCTCTAGCGTGTCACCAACTCATAACCTGCTACATTTAGTAATCTCAAACCGTAAAACTAAGGTGGAATTATTTGTTATAATAAATTTGCTTTCTTAAGTTATCAAGTACATCGTTGAGCGTGACGAGTAAATAACACAAGTTTGCACACAGGACTCCAGCTGGGAGAGCCAGGTGGGAGAGCCAGGTGGGAGAGCCATCTGGGAGAGCCAGCTGGGAAACTGCAAGTGGTGCTTGGTAAAGTCACGTGACTCACTGCTCTCCCAATTCGGTGTTTTCCAGTACGGTCTTTAGTTGCCCTCGTTAATGTACACCCGTGTGCCCCAGCTGGTAATTATATCACTCGCACTATTTCCATCACCTCGCCTCTCAAACATGGTTCAGTCCCCATATCCCACGTGTGGTCCTTTCGTCTCTCTGATTTTTTGTTTTACTTCTTATATGTAAGCACTGTGGCCACCACCCTCCCCGTTCTCTGTGGCCCACTGAGAATAGGAGGGAGGGTGGCCACAGTAAGTAAGGCAGAGCTAAACCTACACTCCCCGTCCATCCACCCAACAGCGAACTCTCAGACAGCGAGAGCTCCACACGCACCTCCACACCCCACAGCGGCCGCAGCCACACTGAACACACTTCTCTGACAGCAGCCGCGCTGATATTTGTCTGTAAAGTGCGTGAGGTTGGGTCACCAACTCCTCCTGGGTCAACAGCTCCACCATTCCCTGGGCCACCAGCTCCTTCCTGGGCCACCAACTCCCTCCTGGACCACCAGCTACCTCCCCCCCTTGGACCACCAGCTCTCTCTGGGACACCCAACTAACCCCTGGATCACCAGCTTCTCCCCCCCACTCCCCTGGGACACTATAGGGTGCTTTTGAATTGTTGAACTTCAAAGTACATTATTGGTGATGACCATCATTAAATCTGTCTTGAGGTTCAGTTAGAAAATCTGCAGCTGCAATAGAAGCCAGAGCGTCATTACTGCGCTGGATGACGGATGAACCTTCAATTCCAGCTGAACGAAGGAGCACTCATGCAGGCAGGACTGTGGAGTATATGCAAGGCCATCCATCATAGCGTACAGGGAAGGACCATAAATCAGCACATGTTCCCTGCCCATGGATAAATCGACAGTCATGGAGTCGAATATAATATTCTAGTTTACTTACGACAACTAAGCTAGTAGGCTAGTATCCTAACAGAATAGTAGGGTAGTTATCTATTTGGCTAATAATAATGTGAAAAGGAGTAGGTTGGAGGACTCTCCACTTAGATGACATACGTTGCGTCTTATAACATTCTAAAACAGAGTTGTCATTTCTGACAAAATGCCTAATTCAATCATTTATTCACATTTTGTGAAGCGTATATCTATCCAGAGACAGATTTATATTGATATCAGTCTAATATACATTACAGGTTGCGCAGTATTATAAATCTGTTGTCCTTGAACTTTCAGCAGTAAAAGGTGAACTCATGTGATGTGATTACAATTCAATAATTTAGTATCCAATAAATATAGAAGTGAATGTAATAGACATACAACACTGGAAGAAAATACTGTGTATAGAATCTACAGCCATCACACTATAGCACCATCGAACATAATAATCAAGGAAACTACAGCATTGCATTATTTGGTAAATTGCTTTTGGAAAATTGTAATTGTGATACATTTAAATTTAAATTTTCCCCCGAGGGGCGAGCCTCTCCCGTTGTAATCTCTCCCTGTGAGTCTACAGCAATCTGAACTTGGTGTTTCTTTACATATTGATGATTATATCTTAATATTTATATGAATGTGACCATTGGTACGTTGTAAGGGCCATCATGATCATGTGCTGAAGAAAGCATTTCAGTGTGAGGCGAGGCTTGTGACAAACACTTGTACACATCATTTTATATCGTACAAGTTATTATTTGCATCATAATGAGTATTGCACAAACAAATCACATTAACGTGATATATCAATGAGAAAGTCAGCTGGAGCCATGAGGAAGATTAAGATTTAAACGCGCTTGTTGGCAGTAACCAGGGTGCAGGTTCGAATCCTCCTCATGGCTCCATCTGATTTTTTCATAATAGGATTCATACTAAATTTATACTACATATATTTATATCATAATGAGTGTTCATACTTAACTTATATTACATATATTTAAAGTCGTGGGTGTGTTGACATAGCTGCTTGGCGCCAGTGGGCGGCCAGGGTGCATGATGTAACATATTGTGGTAGTCGAGCAACTCCTTGTATACAGTTTTGCAAGTTATACCATGATGGAAGTGTTTCAGTTTACTAAAAGGACCATCACAAGTACTTTTTGTGGAATCATTAAGAATTCCTTAAAATATAATGTAGCGGACGCCGCGCTAGCTATGGCGGGCGCACCAGGCGTGAGCTTAGGAGATATACAAGTAACAAAGAAGCTCAACGTGTGTCCGTAGCCTTCGTTGGTAGGAATAGCACCAAGTCTAGGCTTCGTAGGTAGATGTGGGATGGACTGAGGTAGGCGAATCCTCCAGCTACAGCCAGTGGGATAATCCAAGCCCAAAAATCCAGGAGAGGGGTGTAGACGGTATTGTCAATACAGGCGGTTGGTCTCTTCGCCGGAGACGCGCTGCTTCGGGGTTTGGTGCAGCCAATCATTGTGGGTTATAACCTGGAGGAGGGAAATGTTCCCGCAGGCGGGCTATTTAAATGTGGCTCCCTCCTCAATAATAACTGAACACCACATCTCATGAAATTACTGTCAGTTTTCAGTACAGCCTGAGCAACTGGCACCGGTGTAAGAGCCGGTCAACATTTTTTTTCCAAAACGAGTTTTTGCTGGAAGAAAGAGCTTATGGACATATCCTTAGTGAACATATCATAGCCAGATGTTCACTGGTGGAAGTGTGGGTCGTGACAATGACATACTGCAACATCAGTCAATACCCATGAGCATTGTTAATATTTCTTAGATATCGTCTTGGTGACGCGTGTCAGAAATCAGAATCACAGGTGGCTGTTAACTTCACCGACATAATTATTAATGTCAGACGTGTTTGCAGTGTGTACGAAAACCACGTAAGTCCAGAGATGCGGGGCAAGCTGCACACAGGTGGCCAAATCAGTGCCTCCTCTCACTGTTGAAAGACCACTGCCTCTCAACAGTGAGAGGCTGTGGTATCTTGGTCAGCAGTGAGAAGCTGTGGTATCTTGGTCAGCAGTGAGAGGCTGTGGTATCTTAGTCAATAGAGGGAGTGTATTCTTGGTCTGCAGTGATAGGCACTGGTGTTTTGGTTATCAATTAGGGACATTGGGCTCTGGGTCAGCTGGGAGAGGCAATGGTGTCTTGGTTACCAGTGAGAGGCAGAGGTCTCATGGTCGCAATATACGCGTCGTCCGATTCTCACAATTTTTCCTATATCAACACTTAGTTTTATCGTTGGGCGAGTTACTTGGTGCACAAGGCTTTGGGGAGCCATGCCCGGCTTATAAACTTTCCTCTGCAGTCTAATAATGGGTGTTGGTAGTTAGTAATGAGACGCCAGAGTGTATGCAGGTTCTTATATTTACGCCCATAACCGTTTTTTTTTATTAACAATCTCTTATATATATTTTGTCAAAATTGGTTTTTGGTTTTGGGTTGAAGGCGTCTCAACCTCGGTAGGATAATATGGCCACCACAATAGTTTACTGACCAACCAGGGAGTATATAGACTCAGGTCCTGAAGATAGTCCAGTAGGAAAATAACTGTATATATACACTCAGTGTATATATTTCAAATGGTATTTTTATACCATTTCCACTGAGAAATGGAGCACCTCTCGGTGTACATATGTGTCAAAATGCTTTTGCCTCTTGCCATATGTGACAGAGGAATGTGAGTAAATACATTAGCGAGGTGTAAAGCGCGGATCATTACGGCACACGTAGTGGAAGCTCGCTTCGACAAGTGTGAAAGATAAGGAGTACTAAAATCATATAAATATAATATACATCGTGAGAGGCCAGAGTAAAGGAGGAGAGAGAGAGAGAGAGAGAGAGAGAGAGAGAGAGAGAGAGAGAGAGAGAGAGAGAGAGAGAGAGAGAGTGTGTGTTTAGGAGGCAATAAAGACAAGGGAATGAAAGGGACACTCGTGTGTTCATAGCCATAATGGCCGGCAGGTGGAAATCACTTGTTTTTATGTTTTACAATATTTATTTCGAGTTCTGTCTTCGACATCCAATATCTAAAATATAACTTTTGTACCGAGGACTTTTTTAAATGGGCAGAGTTTCTTTCACCCTGATGTTCCTGTTACCTAGCAGTAAATTGGTACCTGGGAGTTAGACAGCTATTACGGGCTTCTTCCTGCGCGCGCGTGTGTGTATGTGTGTGTGCGCGCGTGCGTGCGCGTAAACAAAAAGTTGATTGATAGTTGAGAGGCGGGCCGAAAGAGCAGAGTTCAACCCCCGCAAGCACAACTAGGTGAATACACGCAATTATTTCTTTACATGCGTGTCCGATAATCAAGAAACTTTAAAACTTAAAATTAACTGACGTTAAATAACGGTTAAATGTAGTCAAACACTCTTCAGAGTATTTTTATATTCAAATTAAAATGTTTTATTCATAAATGTTCGTACATTTATAGTAGGGCTAGTTTACACAAATTTACAATAAATTAAATTAAGGCTCTCGGTGTTAGAGTTGGGTTCGTTCCGACTCACAATCGGAAATTTCGGCCGGAATCAGAAATAGTTGGGTACGTTTCCTATCACCTAATGCCTCTATCCACCTAGCAGTTAATAGGTACTCGGGAATTACGCAACTTGCTGTGGGGTTTCATCCTGGGGAGGGTCAGTAATTTGACCTTAGGAAGACCTCCATATAAGCCGTACGTACACACACACACACACACACACACACACACACACACACACACACACACACACACACACACACACACACACACACACACACACACACACACACACACCTGCTGAGGCACATATAAATAGGATAACGACAGCAGCGTACTCTACATTGGCAAACGTTACACTGGCATCATTCAGAAGCCTAAGTGAGGAGGCTTTTAGGGCGCTTCACACTGCCTACGTGAGGCCAGTCTTATAGTATGCCGCACCATCATGGAGTCCCCCACCTGAAGAAACACATAAGGAAACTGGAAGAGGTTCAGAAATTTGCAACGAGACTCGTCCCAGCGTTACGAGGGATGGGATATGAAGAGCGCCTGAAGGAACTGAGCCTTACGTCACTAGAAAAAAGAAGGGCGAGGGGGGATATAATAGAAACGTATAAAATACTTATCGGGATTGACAGAGTAGAAATAGGCGAAATGTTCACACGGAATAGTAAAAGAACGAGGGGACATGGGTGGAAGTTGGAAACTCAGATGAGTCGCGGAGATGTTAGGAAATTTTCTTTAAACGTGAGAGTAGTGAAAAAATGGAATGCACTTAAGGAGCAGGTTATGGAAGCAAATTTTACATAGGGAAATAGGACCGGAATCATTGTTGTAAACACCCGATAGCTCGAAAGGCGGGATCCAAGAGTCAGTGCTCGATCCTGCAGGCAAATAGGTGAATACAAATTGGTGAGTACCCCTCTCTCTGATATATATATATATATAT